CCTAAGCCCAGGAGTTGGAGGTTGCTGTGAGCTGTAATGCCACAGCACTCTACCAAGGGTAATACAGTGAGACTCAGTCTCTCAAAAAAAAAAATTATGATGTTGTCAATTCCACCCAAACATATATATGGATTTAATAACATTTTAATAAAAACATCACTTTCCCCTATAAAACTTGGCAAACTGATTCTAAATTTCATATGGAAAGATCTGGCTATGAATATCTAGATTTGTCAGAAACCTTCTGTTAAGATAGAAAAACTAGACAAATGACAGATAGTCTATTTTAAGTCATTAGATAGTTACTAAGATACTGAGAATGTGAGGGACTAAGATCTTGGAGAGAAAAAATGAGAAATGCAGTCTGACATCCAGTGTCACTTTTCCTCGTCCAGCATTTGCTAGTTTGTAAACAGCAGGCTGAAGGTATAAACAAAGAATAGCAGTAACATGAAAGAGAAATTGAGAAGAACTTTTGGTGGTCTTATGGGGCTAGGAGACAAAAATCAGAACTTAGGAACCCCTGAAGAAGAATAACCTGATAATCAGTCTAAGTCTTCGGATATGATCTTTGCAGATCTAGGCTATAGGCAAAAGTACTAACTAGAAACAGTCCAGCCTTCATAAAAAGACACAGATTCAAATTGGTTCATTCCCAAATAGGATTAAGGTGATCTGACCCTATCTTTAATTTTACTGTAAGCAAAAGTGAGCCCCCTCTGAAGAAATACTATTATTCAACATCTCTGATTATTTCTTTAAATTTTTACATGAAACACCTGGAATTTAATTTTGAAAAAAAATATTGGACAAGCCAGAGGATATGACAATTAGCCAAAAAAAAAAAAAACAATAAATGAAACTAGTCAAACAGATATGTGGGAGATCCAACTATTGAATTGATCAAACATGAGTTATAAGATAACTTAAGTTTATATATCAAAGAATACACAGGGCAAGAAAAAGAATTTCACCAAAAATTTAAATCTTTAAAAATAAGCTGGAGAATGCGCTAACTCAATAAATGAATTTATCAACAGATTAAATATAGCTGAAGAGAGAATTAGTGAACTAGAAAATATATCAATATAAAATATCCATACTGAAGCAAAAAGAAAAAGAAAAAGAATAGAAAACCTGAAAAAAGATTGACACATGACAACATGAAAACTTCTAACATATATATTTATTTTAATTCTGGAAAGAGAGAACAGAGACTAAAATAAATATTTGAAGAGATAATGTGTGAAAACATTCTAAAAGTAAAAAAATTAAACCACATTTAGGAAATGCTACACAACTGGCCAGGTGTGGTAGCTCATGCCTGTAATGCTAGCACTCCCAGGGGCAAGGAGAAAAGATCTCTTGAGCTCAGGAGTTCAAGACCAGCTTGAACAACAGCAAGAACCTGTCTCTACTAAAAATAGAAAAATTGGTGTTGCCTGTGCTCAGTGGGTAGGGTGCTGGCCACATATACTGAGGCTGGTGGGTTTGACGCTGGCCTGGGCCTGTTAAACAACAATGACAACTGTAACGAAAAAATAGGTGGATTTGTGGTGAGTGCCTGTAGTCCCAGCTATTTGGGAGGCTGAGGCAGGAGATTCACTTAAGTCCAAGAGTTGGAGGTTGCTGTGAGCTATGACGCCACAGCACTCTACCGAGGCCAATGTAATAAGACTTTCCACAAAAAATAATAAAGGGCAGCACCTGTGGCTCAAAGGAGTAGGGTGCTAGCCTCATATGCCAGAGGTGGCGGGTTCAAACCCAGCCCCAGCCAAAATCTGCAAATAAATAAATAAATAAATAAGATAAAAATAAAAACAGAAAAATTAGCTGGACTTCATGGTGGGCACCTGTAGTCCCAGCTTCTTGGGAGGCTGAGGCAGGAGGATCACTT